TACTTCGTTATGCAACAAACCATTTCATCTGGTCGAGGAATTACTATCAACTTTTTACCTCCCCCTTCCATTATATTATCATGAGCCTGTCCCGTGGCTAGATATCATACCTCTCTCCGATTCGATCTAAATATTCTAGGTAGTGTGATAAGGCCTTCACTTTTGATGGCTTATAGTCATCTTTGAGTGAGTCTAACACTTCAATCTCGGCACTTATCGCGCTTATTGTTAGGAACTTATATCGAAATTAAAAGGCGATTGCGAATGCTCATGTGCTTATTAAAATTAACCAAGACCCTGGTTCTTTTTTTGGGGTTTTTTTGAATAAATGAAGGTGCTAGCAGTTTGATGAGAGTGTGGACGCTGACGGTACCACTAGACCTGTGCGCTGTAACATGTGAACATCAATGAGATTATTGACGTATTTCCATGAGAGACTTGTTAAAATAGATGTAGGACTATTCGAGGCCGAGAGAATGAGGAAGAAGAGATAAAACTAACAGATTCTTATTTTATTCTTCTGTTCCAGAGCAGTTTCTGGCAGGACTCGTAAAATGCATTTTTCCAGCATCGAGGTTTAGGGTAGCTTATGTGGGTTGGGTTTCAAGACGGGCAGATCCAAGATCATGCATGGCATGGATCCTATTCAGAGTGCTCGTGTGATTGCTATGGAGTCAGTCCTTCGATCAGCTGAAATCGAAGTTAGGCTGGAGGTGCACGCTGTCAAATGGAGGCTCGCAATTGGATGGCGCCCGGCGGCCTGCATCTTGAGCTTGGGCTGTTAGCGGCTCGCGTGCATCGTATCGCTCGCATTTGCGAATTCGCGACCGTTGAGCCCTCCAACGCGAAGTATCGATTGCCGGGGTCTATGCATTGGTAGCAGGCAGCTTTCGCATCGCTACAAAATGCCGACAATGCCTTGGGAAAGTACAGCCAAAACCGATCGCCTTTACTATGTAAATGGCCGAAAGGAAGGAAGCTTCATTTTCCTGTTCTGGTAGTGCCTCCGCCTCCGCCTCAGCCACGCCACACCACTGGCCACAGCCATGGACATTTTAACCAAGACCAACTCTCCAGTTATCAAGGAGAGGACGCTGGATCAACAAGTCAGACCAGAAGACCTGCCACCCACCAAAACTCTGAACTTGTATAAGCGCATATGGCCCGGGAAGAAGTGTCTCTTCGCACCATCCGGGGGCGAGCCAGCGCAGTACTTCATCAAGAACCCGGTACCGCACAAGCACGCTGGCCAATGGAAGCCTGTGTTTTATCGCGGCGATAACCCCAAATACGATCCGGATTCCATCGCCATTTCCCGTGGTTTCCGCACCGGCTTCTGGAACTCGTTTCGTTTCGAACATGGAGATGGCGTGGATATGGTGCTGAAGAACAAGCAGAGGGTCTCGGCGCGTAACTGGCATAGGCGGAAGACCAAGATGCGAGGTTGGTTTGGCAAGCCGGAAAAGCCGCCCAAAAAGCCCCTCGAAGATGAGGAGGAAGTCGAGGGGCTTGTCATGGAGTTTAGGATGCACAGGCCTTGCTTCATCACCCGCACCCTGTCCTTCGAACTGAGTGGTGAGAAATATCGATGGAGTGGGACGAGGAGGTTTCTCCCAAACTGGGCTAAGCGATTCAAGGGCATCTCGCAGGACCTCAAGGTATGTAATGATCGGAAAACGGCCCAATATTACTTGATGTCGTTTGTACTAACCACGCCTCTAGCTCATCAACTCCAAGAACCAACTCGTCGCGACTTTTGAAAAGGACCGATGGGCGATATTCAAGCCATCCGAGAAGTGGCCGGAGACAGCAAACAAGAGAAAACACTACATTGGTACACTTACTATGTATCCAGTGGATCGTGTTGAGTACAACAGCCCGGGAGAAGAATTAGTCGACGAAAAGACATCGTCAGACATAATGAGCGATAACAGCGGAGAGAAGTCGAAGAAGAAGACGAAAAAGCCCAACAAAAACCTGAACCCTGGTGGGCACCACGCGGGAAATCTCACCGAGGAGGCTATTGTATTCACGTGCTGGGCGGCGGTAGAGGCAGAACATCGCCTTCGACACAAACTTGAGGATCTTGCTGAGGAAATTGGAGAGGCTGTAGGAGGCTGATTCATATGATACCCACACGCAACTGAGTAGCTGAGCTGTCAAATGATTTTATATGTAGGAATTTTGATAGACTTGTTTTGTAATTGCTAGCCCTTTTGGTTGTTTAAGGCATATGCATCGACTCTAATACAAATATAACGGATGCTATTTGAACGCCTTATCACATATTATGATATTACCCAGCTTTGATGATCTCTGAGGTCTAGACTATTCGAATCTTGCTCTAACACTGAATATTATTTAGGTATGAAATTTGAAGTTTCATAAAGGTTCCCAGTTCGTATTAACGCCAGTATTCTCTCTCAATCTTGCTGAGTTTTCCCTACACGTCGCATGCCCAATACCAATGGACCCGCGGATTTGGATGCTGAAGTTGACGTGAAAGACACACATACGTGTTCTAGGGTTTCGCCAGCTAGCCCTCGTTCTGAAAGGATCTGGATCGCACCACTTGAAATCTATGAAAGCATAGAGGCCCGTTCTGGATAGGCCCCCCGGAGCTGATCGCTGGACAGTCTTGATCATGGAGCGCGGAGGTCGAAAGATTTTGGAGGCCCTTGTTTTCTTCCATCATCGATTCATATTCATTGAATTCGCAGCCGCAGATTGAATAAGATCGAGAATCTCTCAGAAAAGGACATGCGCAACGCTTCTGTCTTCTTCTCTCGAAATAAATAGTTATTTTTAAGACGAAACCTGCCGAAAGTCGATGACTACCGGATGGGGTCGCAGCTTGGCTCATTTGGAGGGACACCAGGTAAGATGGCTGGGTAGACCCCGCCCAGGGATGCTTCAAAGTCTTTGTAGGTACTCCCTATCTCATCTTCTACACATATTATTTTTGAGACGTGGCCAAACGCGGCCGACTCGCAAGCGCCGGTTGTCAAATGCTCCAGGCTCTGGCTGGCAACAAGCACCTTACCCCCACGCATGACAAGCTCAATGTCTTCTTCTGCTGCATAGATGGCCTGGCCGAAAGGATCCTTGGTGTTGTCGCCACCAAATATGACTATGTCAGCTAGTTTTCCCACCTCAATCGATCCTAACATTGTGTCGAAGCCAGCCACCTTTGCACCATTGATTGTCATCATCTCCCAAAGAGTCTTGGATTCCAGGGTATGGCCATAGCTGAGATGGGTCGCACTGAGGCCACATAGAGCTTCTCTTCCCATGGTGGCGGAGCCAGATGGAAGCCAATCAGTACCGAGAGCAACCGTGATTCCAGCTTCGAGAAGATATGTCACGTTCAGGGTTTTCCCATAGAGGGCGACATTACTCCTCGGCGACCAGATTACTGTTGCATTCCGTTCGGCAACAAGATCGAAATCAGCCTCTGAGAGGCCTAGGGCATGAACGAGACCAACATTTGGGGCGATAATGTCCGTACTTCTCCCTCCGCCAGAGGGAAGCGGCCGCGTGTCGTAATTGATATCCGATAAGCACCTGAACTCATTCTGAGCTTCCGCACCAATGCCCTCTGCGACATGGCCGATATAGCGATGTAGTCCCTTGGCGGTTTTCTGGTCGATAGGGTTGGGGCCGTAATCGCAGTCACCTTCACGAACGATCCCGGCAGCGTCGTCCAGAGGGAAAATTGCGTATGTATCAGCGGGAGATTCCAAGCCATCTTCCAACCCAGAAACGAAATCCAGGTTCCGTGCGAGGCCAGGAGCCATGTGATTCCCGACGATGGAGGTTGTGCCTGAGAAGATGTGCCTCAGCTCACCCCATTTGATGGCATCAGTCTCTGAGCCATTGACGGGGGCAGGCAGCATTGGGCGGTCGTTCAGGCCCACTCGCCACTCATGGCGGTGATCGTATAGAGTCCCGGTGGTAGGAAATGGGTTGATGGTTGAGCAGTCGATGTGCTCGTGGGTGTTGATAAACCCTGGCGAGATGACTGATCCCTTGCATTCGACAACGCTGGCCTCTCCAATGGTTCGACAAGCGGCGTCATTCCCCATGCGCACAATCTTTCCTGACTGCACTAGAATATACCCGGGCTCTAGAGGACCCTCGCTGGTAAGTATTGTCCCTACGAACAGGACATCCTGCGAAGATCCTTGGTGGGCGACGGTACAGTCGCCAGCGGCAGCGCTGACGCAAAGGGCGAGAAAGAGAGCCACCGCTCTCCAGAGTCGGGGCATGTACATAATTGACTGGTCTGGACACCACCACCGGGGTACATTTGAGTCGCTAGCTCTCCATTGAGCGGCTTGAGATTTCGTTTCGATCTGGTGCAAGCGCCCGAAGTCAGCGGAAGGATAGATGGTTTAGGGGAAAGCAATCCATTGCTAACTGGGCCTCTGTCCTCTGTGCCAGACGCCGCAACTGACCCACCTGCGCCACACCGAGCGCTTTATCCTCACGAGATTCAATGTCGAAGTGATGCTGAAAATAATATACTTGGATTGATACTACATCAATCAATTGGGAGCAATATTTATTTTCCAAAATTAATGCTCGTCTCCTCTAGATTAGATAATTAACGGACTTTTGCATTTGTGTTGGCGGACGTGATGGTGGGAGGCCACTCAAATAGCGAATAACTGTGGCATAGTGCAAATAACCTCAAGTACTAACGTTCTTATTGTTCGATAATAAATGTTATTCGCACAGAATAATTTAATGATTTCCTAACTCATTGTTTCTGAATATTGTGGCTTGTATGAAAACATTGAGATATGAAAATAACTTCGCGGTCGTTTGCGTCTTGGGAGTCAGCCCCCCGTATGAAAACCTGTGCTTAGCCAACGTCTTCGTCCTTCTCCTTCTTCGTCCTCCTCCTTCTTCACTCCTCCTCCTTCACTCCTCCTTCTTCACCTCCTCATTCCTCGCCTGTTCCTTCTTCACCTCCTCCTTCTTCACCTGTTCCTTCTTCACCTCCTCTCCTCGGAGGAGATGGGGCCGGGGAGGGGGGAGGCAACCGCAACAGCCTCGGTCTTTTCGACCTTGGCATTGGCCTGTTGGGCCAGGAGCTCGACAAAGGCGTTCTATATCTTTAAATAACTTATTCTCTCAAAATACATGAACGAGCTTGTATTTACTTACGCCGATGTCGGCATCGAGATCCTAATGCCGGTTGTCAGTTGGTGAGATCAGTCGACGATTCGTTAGAGAAGGGAAATTTACGGTGCCCGTTCGCTCCTATTCCAAGGAACGCTGTTAGTATTCCATTTCAGGTTTTGAAGAAATCTTACTACTTACCTCACTCTTTTTATGCCAATCCTAATGCATAACGGCAATTAGCCAACTAGTTCACTGGATTCATGTGCGGTAGGTACTAACGGCCATCTTCTTGAGGGCGAACTAGAAGTACAGAGTCAGCTCAGAATAGCAGGTAAGACCATAATAGGCCATCTTACGGTCTTCTTGATCTCGGCGGCCTTGTAACAATTATTAGCTGGGCTACTCATTAGTGAACTAGGAGGGATGATACGAACTCTCTCCGCCGCGAGGTGCTCCTGTTTCCATAATTCCACGTTTAGCGTACTGATCCAACTGATTGGGAACGACAAGCCCTATGTACCTTGGCTTTTTCGCGCCAAAGCTGGTAATAGTTAGCCTTAGTACCTCGAATTATTGTTAGATCGAAACCAACTTACAGCAAATTGTTCCCGCGCCTCCTATTGGAATTTGTTGTTTAGCGAGGATATATCAATTGTTCAATCGGGTCGTGGTAGTTACCTCGCGGGTTCCGGTCTGATCAGCTGTCAGCATCTAACTAATAATATCAATGTCTAACGCCATTTGTGCGTGTTGAAACATACGAGAGCTTTGACCTTCTACCAAGGATTGTTAGCAGAAGATTGGAAGCAGAAGAGACATCAACTGCTTAATTCGGCAGACGGACCAGTGGTATTGGTGGACTCCTTGTGATTTTCTATTAGTAGATAATCTATAGGATAGGTAGGTAGAAAGAGGATTCTCACTGGTCCTTCCGCACCCGACGCAGTCGTCATCTAGCAGGGCCAAAAAGTTGGGAATTCACCTGGTATCTGCGGACAAAGAGAGAATGAATAAAATGAAAACCTAGCTGGCCTGGAACGAAGCGTCAAGGTATATGAATGTCAGTACCTGAGGCATCTACCTTTGCTGGTACCTGAGGCACCTAACTACCTGGGTACCTGAGGCATCTAATGGCCTGTTACGGCACGGCGAGACCTGTCTACACTTCGAATACCAGGTACCTACCTACGCACATAAAATCTAAGTCATAGACCAAGTATCAAGCGCATAAAACAAACGATCAAGGAGGGCGGTGGATAGAGCTGGTAGATGTGGGGTCAATGCAGCTCCCATCAGCAAGATGAATCAGCAAACAACAACTAAGACCTGGGCAGGTGTAAATTATTTTCTTTTCTTTTTCTTGTCGAGTTGTGAGTAGGTAGGTACCTATGTATGACCATAATCATACCACGTATAGTGATCGCTGGCCAAAGCTAGACTTTTTTCTTTCGCTTTTTTTTTTCTTTCGTCGGTTGTCAATGCCGCAGCATGTCAATATAAATGTCATTAAAAACTGTGAAGCTCGTTCTGATAGTGGCTAGATGTAAGATTAAGAAATTGTTGGCCTTCCGTGCCGGTTTTCTTGCTGCTCATTTCTCCATATACAATATGCTGTGGCTTGTTGAGCCTCCCATCGCAGGAGCACTGCCTGGTTTCGTTTGTTCCTGTGGAAATCTACGTCCGCAGAAGGTTAGTTTTTGTACTGACCATAAACTAACATAGCTGCTAACCATGAAAAACTGGAATATTAACATTCAGGTGACTCAATTCAGCATAATCTGGTTCAAATTACTGCAAAGATCCAGATACAAGGACAGCGGCTAGGAAGGTTGGCCATAAAGCATCTATAAATCGAATGGCTGGGTTTGAAGCGGTGTGTCTTTGAAAGAGGCCTTTTATGTGTCGTAATATTCCCCATCGCAGGATGCCTTGTATAAGATAGAGTGTGAACTGAGCGTGATAGTCGCTGGTTAGGTGATACCACATTGCCACTTGATCACAATGGTACCAATGTAAGAGAAAGCAAGGTCGATGGTGTGGACATAAGTTTGGGAGGCAATGTTATCATGTCTGGGCTGATTCCTAGCTGAATGCAGCAGGATTTGCGATTTGCGGACTGAATCCCCCCCTCCGTATCTAGTACCTTGCAATCAACTTCTGTTGCCCCGGTTTCCTCATTGTTCCTCTACTACCTAGTAATGGACGGAGAGTGGGTTCACATTTCTTCCGCACTAGTTGAATTAGGCGGGAGATACTGGAAGCCTACCCTTTCTACAGAAATCATTCTCAACCTTGACGGTGAGAGAGTTTGAGAATAAAGTAAAAAACAGCAATGGAAGAGGCCGGACCCGACATCTCAACACAATGAATATAGAAGGCAAAAACAAGTTTTGCTAGCCTAAGGCTGCATCCATGCAGAAGGAAACCTTTGTAAATCTTCATACCAATGACTCATATGCCGTCGGGACGAGCCGTTCGTCAGATCGCTATATATTCTACCCTCTTTCACCTAGCTGCCACACACACAGCTTCCTTCGTACACCCGTATTCTACTACGGCAATCCAAACACTTCAACCAAGCTCATTCTCAACCTTGACATAACACCCATATCATTTCGTATTCTCTACCTCCTCCTAAGCATAAACCGCCTAAACATCCTAGAAGAAATCATCATGGCCTCTTTCCACTTTTTTCCCGATCTGCCGTACGAACTCCGGCATCAGATTTGGCAGCAAGCCATTCGACCATCCGCGAAGAAATGCTCCGGCATACAGCATTTCTCCATCCTCCACAGCAATATGAAGTCAGGAAACACAGCCTCCAAGCCCAAAGTACTACCCTCATATAGAGGTGTTTCAACGTCTTGTGACAAACGAACGGCCTTCGCCGCCGAAATACCAGGGGCCGAAGCGATCGAAGCCAACCGGTCCGCGTACATGTGGGATGCTGGTCTATGGACCGCTTGTTGGGAATCCCGCCAGATCATCTTGCGTCACTGGGAAATGAAGAAATGGTCGGAGAAGAGACGCAAATTCCTGTCTGACGGGATAACGTTTGGGTGGGGGGAGGAAATGTGGCGCGAGAATCAAGATTTCTGCATTACCATCAACGCGCCATCTCTAACCACAAATGATGGTGGCGAGGAATGGCAGCTTATGGTCCGTCCATACGAAGATGCATTCTATTTCGACCCGTCGAGTCTCGTGGACGCGCTCAAACAACCAAGCCCACTCCCGTACGACGATAATTTGTTCGAGATCATGCAGCAACTGCCCTTCTCAGGGGTTAATTATGGCTGCCAACCTGTGCAGCACTTCATTTTTGATTTCGATCCAAATTGGCTCAATAATCTTCCCAGATGGGATGCCCATCTGGATAGCGATTCTCCACAGGGGTTTATCATAGACTTGCTATGGAAACTGGCAAGGAGAGAAACAGAGTTCCATATTTGGCTGATTGATCGCAGCCTTCGTCAGTCCAGTATCAAAAATGGGGATAAAGTTCTCCCAACTGGTGTCGTGGACGACGATGCTAGGGTATTTTACAACTGCGATGAGGAGTTTGTCGACCTGGGGAAGGCCGGATACGAACACTTTGATCGGCCTTGGATGTGTGAGTATGATGACGACAATTTCGAGAAATCCACAGATTTTCTCAAGTGCGAGACGAGAAGAAGCTTTCTGCCGCCTTGGCTAGGGAAGAGAACGGATTCGCCGGCTGGTTCATATGGTGGCTGGCCGAAAATCTCAACGAAACTTTGTCTGAGGTCAAAAGCTACCCCGATAAATTTGATGATTCGACGTTCGAGTCTTTTTGGGTGGAGGATCATATCAGCATTCTTGGTTATAGGAGATAGGCGTGCAAGCTATGATTCATTGAATGGTTTCACCGCATTTACTATGCGATACTAGGATCTCAGGTCGTCAGATAGTTTTCCCTCTGAACAAGAATCTTCATCACTCAGACCCGTTTCGTTTCCGCTACTAGACGACCCTTCATCTTCACTGTCTGACTCTTGAGTTTCTTCCTCAACACTCTCTGAATATGCAGTACCTTCCCCACTACTCTGTTCTTCCTCTATCTTGCCAGTGAAATTCTGATATTTGACCGCATTATGCCCTTATAATCAGCCCCATCGTCGCTCAAGTCCACCAGGAGACCTGTCTGTTTTATTCTCAGTCTAGAGAATCCTTTGCTGTAAAAGCAGCACCTTTTAGAGACACGTCATATATTCCTACCCTTCGAAGACGCGCATAAACCCGGGGAAACAGGCCTAAATTGAGGCGCAGGAAGCATGCGTACGTGTCAATCAAGAAGAGCGGTGGATAGGATTGATAGGTGTGGTCGAAGTACGAGTTTCTCCATCCTGGTGGCTGGCTCTCAAGACGAACACGGCCGCAAAGGTATTTTCATGTTTCGAGGTTCTAATGCAAGCCACAATATTAAGAGACAATAAGTTGGAGTATAATCAAATTATTGTATTTAATAATTACTTATATTACTTATCGCACAATAGAGAGCGTTGTTATCTAAGATTGGCAGCACTACGTTATTCGCTCTTCGTCTGGCCTTTGCGGTCCCTCTTTGTCTGTGCCCAAATTAGTCGCAATGGCCTGACCTAGCCGAAGGCTCTCCTAAGCATCGTGTACATTACCTATTGACTGCCATAGTACTAACGTAGTTTGATATCGGGCTCACTGGTTGCATTTTGGGATTAGGTGAACGACTCTTCCGCCAAGAGGCCAGAACCCTTGTCGTCAAATGTGGCCAACTCTGAGCGCCCTTGTTCCGATCCACAGTAAGACAAGGACGATGGACCGATGATCGATCTGTCTTAGTCGGCCCGCAGCTTAGTTAATTGCTTAAATGAACTATGGGCAACGAGGGACTCATGTAGCGAAGAGATTCTTACCCGGACCACTCAGTCAGTTCCCCTTTGATATAAGAATGGATCTGGTTACTTCCGTGGTGAAGGAGTCTGCGCAATCGCGTAGGCTAGCACCGATTTTTTCGAAGCATCCAGTGAGGGCAGAGAACGAATGATTTCCGGCAGTGACTTAGTCAAGGAGTGTGGGTAGCTGCCCATCGATGCAGTTTCATCAGTCAAACCGGACAATTGAGCCCCTTCCGGCATTGCAATAAGAAATGTCACTCAGGCTGCCCTGAAAATCCGGGGCCTCACAGTAAATCGCTTCATCCAACCTCGCAAGTCAGCATAGTCGGGTAGGGAAGGAACAAACGGCTCGACACGATCATGGGTCGAGTATGACGTACACATCCAGGCAGCAGCCTAGAATTGGGTCTAAGGGTAAGAGCGAGTGCTTGCGCAACTGATAGAGAGGTACCTTAGTACCTTTGGGGCGCATCGTACCTTCCTTCCCAAAAGGAAGGGTGGCTCCATAGGTACCTGAGGTATCTACTATGTAGTTGAGGAAGGCAAATCTAGGATGTTCTTCTGCTTTTCACCATCAAACATTGCGTACTTCAGTACAGCTATACAATCAATCAATCCATTAAAACTTGAAATTGAAGCGACCCGATCCAAACATGCTAGCAAAGGCTACAAAATCTGTTCGTCGCCAAGCTCAAAAGCGCCGAAGGGCAGCTCGAGATGCAGAGACAAGAATCGAGAGGATTCGAAGCTTTGAGGCAGCCGGTATTTGCACTGCCGAGCAAGCTGAAGCGTCTATTTCAGCCATCAACTATTCTTTGAAGAAAATGGTTGAATCTGGCCAACATGGTGAAGTTGAGCCAACCAATGCTTTGTCACGAGAAGTAGTGAACAAGGCGCCGGCACCCAATTTTTCCAGTCCACATTCTGAGTGAAATTAGGATGACGTGAAAGCTACAGCCAAATCCTTTTTACCAATAAAATTGAGTACCGGTAGCTGTGAAGTCCACTCTGGCGGTCGCGTGCGAACCAGTCTAGAATTCCCCAGTCCATACTCTGAGGGAAAGTGGGAGAACTTCAAAGCCACAGCCAAACCTTTTTACCAATAAAATTGAGTACCGGTAGCTGTGAAGCCTACTCTGGCGGTCGCGTGCGAACCAGTCCAGAATTCCCCAGTCCATACTCTGAGGGAAAGTGGGATGACTTCAGAGACACAGCCAAACCATTTTCCAATAAAATTGAGTACCGGTAGCTGTGAAGTCCACCTTTGGCGGTCGCGTGCGAACCGATCCAGGAATGGTGGCAATAATTCCTCCACCCAATAGTCATACATGTATGAACTACTTGAGGAGGGGGGTGCCTTCACCACGGGGCGTGGTAGAGGTACGGGCGGCGAAGTCGGACTCTTACAACCTCCTCGTGGTGCCGCCCGGGGACCTGGCCAATTCTTGATTTCAAGATGAGTTTCAGGCAATGTAAGAGACGCAATTTTTTTTTTTATTTTGTCTGTGGGTTTTTTTTTTTTTTTTTTTTTTTTTTTTTGAGAATAGCGATGGGCGATTTACTGGCTTCGTGTAACGATTGGAGGCTTGGACAGTGGTCGTTCTGGAGGGCGAAACAACAGGATTATCGGATGAGATGATTGGCGATATGGATATCCAACAGCTAGCTTCATTAACGTGTTGAGTGAATTATTCAATGTAACAAAACCAGACTTTTACACCATCTCTCGAGACTTTAGCCTCTTGTGACTCATTTACGCATATCGAAATGGGATTTGTAAGTTTTGTTTTAAGTCCCCCGCAACGTCTTCGCTCTCCTCCTTCTTCCCCTGCCCCTTCTTATCCTCTTCCTGCTTCTCTTGCTTCTCCTCGGGGGCGATGGCGGCGGCGGCGGAAAAAATGGCCTTGATCTCGTCGACATTGGCCTGTCGGCCCCGGATCTCGGCTACAGCGTTCTGTCATCTTTAATTGACTTCCTCTCTCAAAATATAGAAACTAAGTGGCATTTAATTACTTACATCCTGGTATCGACATCCGCTTGATGCCAGTTGTCAGTTAATGAGATCAGCCGACGGTGGGTAAGAGAAAGTCTTTAATCGTTGCTGTGCCTTCGTCTCGCTGGCCTTGTGGCTCATCTCGTTCTTTTATCATTCGGCCCTCGTTAAGCAGGTATTTAGCGAGACCGGGCTTTATACAGTCAGGATCTGCTGTCACCAATAGGGGACCATGGCCACATTTGATCCATTGCTGGAAGTGCCCATGTTTAAGAAGCTACCCACACGTGCCTTCCTGGCGCTTTACCACCTTGTATTTATGCCACTCGTACGTGGTGTCGCTAATATTACTCGTGAGCCGGAACACTTGGTGGCAGCGTTGTTGTTCCTTGGAGGATTTCTTTGGCATAGTTCATTGATGTGAAGATTTCTCATTGATACTTATATCTAGGTACAAGCAGTGCGGGATACTTAGACAATTCCAAATCGTTACTTGCTAGATTTCATTCCGCCTAGTTTCCTTTCGCTTTCAGTATTGCTTGGGGCAATTTGATAGAGCATATCCCTTGAACATGCAGCAGACATCTTATTGCATAACCATGCCATGATTATGACTTATGGGAATCCAAATACCACGAACGAATAGAAGCGAAAAGAAGTTTGATAGGTCGGCCGCGCGGCCTCCATCTCGAAGCATAGAACAATCACCTCGAGAGCGAGGTTGTCTCTAAAAACGGCATCCTTAATCAATTGATTCCTTCAGGTGATGGTATTATTGTGAATTGCCGAAGTGTCCTCGTCTTCCTGCTGAGGATGCTGTCTCAGTACTCGTCAAATGTATGGCCTCCGATCTCGTAATGTGCCTTGAGCCCACTCGTTGCCGTCCGAAGAAGTCGATTCGAAAATCCTAGCACGCCGCTTAGTTAGAATTTCTGCTTTTGTATGCTTTCCCGAAGTCGTACTGAAGAACAGCAGCCTTGTCGTTTCGGGGAGCGCTGACTGCTACATCCCCAAGATGGATATCATTCTTTGAAGTCGGTGCACCGCCAGCAATACCGACCATAAGGCCAATTCTGACACTTCGGAAGCTTTGCGTCATGTCTCTCGCGACGGCTACAGGGCTGGCTTCGCAGCGCTGAAGCTCAGGCAAGAGCGCGATGAAACATTGTGTGTGCCTATCCTGCCTAGGTAGTGTATAATCGTTGCCGTCGCCCCTCGCGGTTTATTCCGGCCTTTCATGCAACTCGTTGAGGAAAGGCTTCGTAGCAACATATTCCTGACTGATAGCGCAGATTTCACCGGCAGTTTATCATCAGGCTGGGAGATTCCCAGTCTGAGAGTTGTACGCAAGTCGGGGAGGAGACCACGCTGCGGCCGTTACCAAATTTGAGCGATCAGATGTTGTTTTGCCCCTCATTTGATTCTGCGACTGAACTTACCTCATGGAACTCGGATAATTGGCGCCGGCACCTAAATAGTCTCACAGTAGTGGTGTCAATGAAGGTAGCTGAATTGGAATCGCCGACCGTAAGCCGTCCGGCCTGCACCTTTCAATTCTTTCTTGCTTCTTGCCCACTTGGAATGAGCGATTTCCTCGATGGTGAGGTTGTGTTCGACGGTGAGCTGACAGCCTTGACCCTTTGTGTTGGTATCTTTGCAGCAGCGTGAGAGTTTGTGTTTTATGATTTTTTGTGAGTAGTGATGAGAACCTGAAGATTTGAGAGCAAGGGACGTGCAGGGGTGTGTTGGATGCACCTACTGCTGGCTGACCTTGAGGGGCTCGTCTCACGTGAGCACATTATTTTGAAGTCGTTGCTGCCCAATGCAGAACCAACAAGAGCAAGCCTGAGGCATTCGGCTTTAACGATTCGACCTGGAGGCTCGGCTCCGGCGATCCATCTCAGTCCTGATGGAGGCGACAAACTGGGATCGGAAGGTTTTTCGCTTACGCAGGATCCCAGCGTCCATTTCCACGGTCGAGGAGGCCGCGAAGCTGCTAGCGACTGCCCTGCAAATCGATCCTAGCGACGTGGTGGTTGGCTCCATTGGACGAACCGATGAGATATCCGAACGATTCCCCTCCAAAGTCGCGACCCTGCAGCTCAAACAAGTACCGGCCTGTATTCGAAACAATTCAGCGGACGACGAATGGCACTTCCCGGTTCCTGGTCAGCCCACAGCCAGCCCCCTCCTTCTTGACACTCATTTCGGAGGGTGGACGGCTCTCAACACGGTAGATCCCTCTACACACCACGCTGAGTAAGTCAAGCTACGATCACATGCATTGATTCGAATTAACAGCTTCGGCGAAGCGTCATTGCTCTATCTGGCCTGGGTAGTCACCCATTCGGGTCCTGGCAGCCGCGCGGAAATGACAAGACATTCATGTGGTTGAGGGATGCTCTGCCTGCCTCCATCCCTGGAGTCAGATCATTCATCTACGGTTACGACTCTAAGGTGCTGGCAAGCCATTCATTCCAGTCGATCAGTGACATTTCTACAAGCTTCATCTTGGCCCTGAAGAATGGGGGCTGGAACCTCGACTCGAAGAAACCAATCATATTTATCGCACATAGCCTTGGGGGCATAGTCTTGAAGGATGCTTGTGTCCAGATCGCCGAGGCACGTGAGCCGACCACAGCGTGCATCTTGAACAATATCCAGGGCGCCATCATGTTTGGAGTTCCCAGTCTAGGAATGCAGCAGTCGCACCTCTTGGCAATGGTACAGGGCCAAGCAAACGAAACATTGATTCAGGATCTATCGCGAGGAAATGGAAACAATTATCTGCGGCAATTGAGGGGCCGATTCGACGGTATTTGTTTCACTAGACAAGCCCGAATCATATGGGCGTACGAGACGGTAGAGTCCCCCACGATAAGGGTAAGTTACTATCCTATTTATCTCTATTCTACTATAAATAGTCTCTATGTCGTTGTGCTAAAGATGTTCAAAGCAAATGCCTGACCAGTCATGGGACAGGAACGGTCCGAGAGAGGTTTTGGTCAACCCTGATTCAGCAACAAGCTACCATAACCGAAAGGACAAAGCTTCAATTCTCCCAATAAATGAGAATCACTCCAACATGGTCAAATTTTCTAGTGGCAACACAAACCTGGCGTCAATTTTAGTCCTGCTTCGGGAAATGTGCTCCTCCACCATGCCGATGCCAGGTCATTTCTCAGACCTTGAAGCTTCTATGCGTGCGGATCAAGACAGAGACCTCACCAAGCATTATACTGCATTAGGAGAAGCCACCAGATTTGATGACAGGGCCATCACAGATCTTGGGAAGCTTCTGTCGGAGGCCCAAAGTACGTTGCACTGGTTTTCTGTATTCCCAGGCTATTACTGATACAACTCCAGAGATGCATGACCAATTATACTCGCCCGAACTGGATTTCCGAGTCCGCCAGATTGAAGATCCATTTCAATCCACCTTTCAATGGATATTCCAAACCCCAACCTTTTGTGACTGGCTCCAGAATGACGATTTCAAGTTGCTTTGGATACACGGGAAACCGGGCTCGGGAAAGTCGACACTGATGAAGCATGTGCTTGAAAGCAAGCAAACTTGGGAACTCTTACACAATTGGAGAAGATCTGGTGAAATCGTCTGCAGTTTCTTCCTTCATCTACGTGGTACAGCTTTGCAAAAATCATTCGAAGGAGTGCTCAGAAGTCTTATCATACAGATACTTGCACCCCACCGGCTTCCACTGGAAAAGAAATTCCAACATATATTGCAGAAATATCGGAGATTGATAGGTCATATCAAAGAGTTGACGATTCAAAAAGAACAGAAGGAAAGATTCTTGATCAAAACTACCAAATCAATCGAAGAATTGGAGACGGCCTTGTCCTCGTTTCAAGAAGAGGAGAAAACTTCAAAAGAAAATTCTGAAAATGACAAAATAATACGAAAATATCAAGAACGTTTGAAAAGCCTCAAAGGATCTTGGACGGAGGCTGATTCCGAATTGAAGAGCTCTGAGGAGTTACTCAATAATACTCGCTCCGATTTGCTAAACGTTCTTGAGATCGCAAAAGGCCTTCAAGGCAGCCGAGAAAGAATCCTTCTGTCCAAGGTGATGGAGGAGTTTAAAGAGGACCACGAAGGATTCATACACCGGCTCGAGAGAGTTCTTCGATTCCTTGTCGATCAAGATATAATCCAGATGGACTTGACGCTGTTCTTCGATGCGCTTGATGAATTCGATGGCCATATCAATCTCATCAGTCGGTTTATAAAATCTTTGGTGGATGGATTTAAAAGTTCAGCGACTAGAATCAAGGTTTGCTTCTCTAGTCGACCATGGGAATCCTTACAGAGGGATTTTGCGGGGTTTCCATCGATAAGCTTACAGGAACATACCGCAACAGACATTGAGAATTATACCATTGGTTCTCTAGTTGCCTCGAGTGCGGCTGATCCTTTGATACTGGATCTTGTTCCCACGATTGTCGACAGAGCAAACGGGGTATTCCTCTGGGTTAAGCTCACGATACGAGAAATACTCCGGACGGCATCAATGTACCAAAATCAGCCTAAGAGGCTTCGAGAGGAGCTAAACAAAGCTCTTTCACAAGTTCCATCAGATCTTCAGGACTACTATGAGTTGATAATTTCTCGCATAAGTATTTCTGTTCGGCGGTATACCTTCGCGCTTCTAGAACTGCTCATTCGCCCAAGTATTGGACCACCCATGACAGCGAAAGAACTGAGAGATGCGGTCATGGTGTCCCATTGCTCAACACCAGTGGATGTTTCCCGTGAGCTTTCTAAAATCAACAAGACCTCAAACGCACCTTTCGAGAGAGAGCAAGTTAAAAATGACATTAACATCTGGAGCGGAGGACTTGTCGAGATTGTGAGCGGAGAAGACCAAGACCTTCCGCAATTGATGCATCAAACAGTGGCGGAGTTTACAATGGCTTTGGCATTTAAACAAATCGTGCTTGGTGGCCTGTCCACTTTCATCCATGACAATGGGCATTCCTTTCGTGTGAAATACTGGATCTCTTCGACTCTGGTTGATAAATCTAGAAGAGCCGAATTGCAGCAGTTGGTGGCTCACCATGCACAGCTCTCCGAGCACACCACTGGCCATAGTCAGATAAAGTTCGTCCAAGAGCTTCCCTCGACGCCGTTTCACGCATGTCTCAGCCAACAGATTCAGTACGACGATCCGTCCGCCACTATTGTCGCATTTATGGCCTCGAGTGGCCTTGCCCTGTGTCTCCGTGACTGGGTTTCAGAGCACCAGGGTGACCTTTCAAGACTTTCAAGGGGATACTTGAATAACTTTCTGCTGAGGAACCACTTTCTATCCTCGCCATCTGTTCCTTTTGACAATAGATTACCCATACTTCGGTTATTGCTTGAAAACGGCTTCGACATTAAGCGAGAACTCTTCTTCTTTGAGAAAAGCCTCTTCAATGCTTGGGATAGGGAAGCCGTCGAAGCAATCGAATCACATGAGTCGAGCAGTGCGCTCCATGAAGGCAAAGCAGACCTTGTATACCACAACTTTGCTGCTGAGTTTCTCAAGCACAAGCAAGACCCGAATGTCGTTCTAGACGTATGGTGGGCGGGCGCCGCTGGCATTCAGGTTTCTCCGCTTCACATCGCAAGCCCGTCCATCGCAGAAATGTGCATTCAATGTGGCGCCGAGACAAATGCCTGCGATTCAGCAGGGCGCACTCCTTTAGATTGGTTTCTTCAATACCCGGATGAGGTTTCCAAGCACAAGCCACCCATTGACGATAGATACAATATGTGTCTTCTTCTCACTCAAGCTGGAGGGTTGGTTTCGCGCTGGGATGAGATAGTGTGGTTGAGCGCTCTGCTTGAATTCGAGGCGGAAGGTTTCGATACAGCAGCACTGCGAGAGCATTTTGAAATCCAGAAGAAGAAAAATACAAGGCTCTTTGGAAATATTTTTAATTTGAGTTGGATTAAATAAGATGGGTACGTGAGAGGCTACATGAAGATCTAGATGAACAGGGCTGTATCTCATTTTACATTTTATGTCCCCCAAGTGTGAGACTATGTATGTATATAGAGTCATGCCTCAGCAAGATCAGAACGGAGAGCGGCTAAACATTTATTTATCACACGCGGCTTTGTTCTCACCATGGCGTATTTTATCATGATCCAAAGGCGCGATTAAATCAACGTGTCTAAAATGCCATTCGCCTAACCCCTTGTGATTGTCAGTCTGATTGGCGGGCCTTCGTGCCGCAAGACAAACGCAATGCCGGAGGAGCCTCGCACCAACGACGCGGCCTCACAATGCAACGACGGGCCTGGGAAAGCGAAGACGAGTTGTGGAGAGTTATATTTTTAGGCTGGATTTTAGAGAGATGCCCCGCGTTCAACAGAGATCAGATCGGTTATTATTTGGCGGATTGTTCTCACGGCGTTTACAACTCCAGACCATCGAAGAGTGTCCCCCAGCCAGGCCACTGATGGCACATGTGATGAACGCTTCTGCCACCTTCAGGAAAGAAGCAAGCTCTTTCCCAATCAATTACCCCAGCCACACTATCAAGATTTGGATGCAAAATGACGTTGGATAGATCAAGATCCATGTGAGAGAAGACAGGTTTGCTCTCAGGGGAAATAGCGCCCAGTACGCTGTGGTCAGCATAAGCCTTAATGAAGTCCTCGGTAGATTTGAAAGGTCCACCATTGGGTAATTGAAGGTGGAAGATTTGACCGGATGGGACGAGCGATCTGACCTCGCCTGTGAGGTTCGGTATTGCTGCAAGTTGCTGTATGAAACCTTGAACCTGGGGACGGATTGCCTCCCGCTGGCGAGGATTCACGCTATCCCAAATGGACTTCTCGTTGACAGTAATGCCCTGAATTCGTTCGAAGACATTAAACCTGGACAAACCCTACTTATTAGAACGGCAGGTTTCTATTATATGATCTTTGTTGGACACTCACCCTTCACCACGGTGTAAGACCTGTGGGATCGGAATGTTTGTGTACTCCTGGACAAGCTTCATAGCCTCGATCTCATTCTCATCACGCTGAAGAACGGTCTCGACTTCAGGTTTATAGCCTTGATACCCAGTTTCACCTATAGCCAGTGGCTTTTTGACAACGCAATTCGGGAGCACGTAAATGTAGCGATCGAATGGGGGAACAGGCATGTGCTCATCCTTACAGCCCTCGAGGTAAGTTTGATCGCCTTCAGTCATCTTTAGAGCATGGGAATTCACGGTAAGGGTGGATATTTGGAGGAGAAGATGAACAAATAAGAAGGGGATTTGTCTGGTTTCAGGGGGATATGAGTTGCACAGTCATAACCCCATTAATGTGACGACCCAAGCGCCAACTGAGAGGTTTGCTGTGATGCCTAATTACCCCGCAGCTCACATGAACCCGCTAATGAATTTTGGAACCTGAATTAGACATCACTGGTTAACTGGAAGCAGTTGGGTGCGAGCTGTTGGAGCCAACAAACGGAGTGCTCTGTGTTATCCGTGTATTGGCAACTTTTTAGATTGACACACTCCTTTCTCGGATTGGCCTGATGCCAACGTAAGAAAAGTCCAGATTCATAACCGTAGCCGGAAACAAGCCTCTTTCGTCCTAACGTTGCATCGATAGGCACACTGAAAGAAGGGATACGTCAACAAGTATGATACCTGATACAAGCTGACCTGGGGGATAATACTAACCACTTTTCGTTATGTCTCGATTAGCAATGCAATTGTTTCTTGAAAACATCCAGTACCTAGCTCGATGAATTTATTTTAATCAATTATAACCCGAGCTTCCAACGTAAATACAAATAGCCTAGTTCTTCTCGACAGTTACCTGCCTTAGATGGGTAATTGTTGCTGGAGTGATAAGCTTTTTTTCAAGTAGGTAGTATTAAAGAAGCTTTTACTAAGACAACTGAATCAAAGTTGAGGCCTTTTCACCCTTAGTCATTGCGCAAGATTCAATCACGGATTTTGAGAACTTTCAAATCTTTTGCGTAAAGGCCCCAGTAAATGTCGCACCTTCACTTGGGTTTATCGTTTATCTAACTCGACAATCAAGGAGCTATCCGTAGCCACGACTTAATAACCCATCTTCGTGTTCATTCATCATGCCTACCGCCTTGTCCTCGTTATAGTGCCTCGGGTCCGGGTAGTTTGAAGGGCGGTCTCCCGCTAAGGATGACACCATCCAGCATCTCAAGCCGATCCTGCCCCCAGAAGGGCTCTTCCCGGTAAAAGTACGTAGGTGCGCCAAATAGCTCCCTATCTATAGCCTCCTGAGACAAGGCCTCTTCCTTTTCTGCCAAGCCTGGCTCACTCTTCGCACGCTCTAGAAGTCGGACTCCGTCCAGCCCCGACTCGTTAGCAATCTTGACAATGGTATCTACATCTGCAATATCCCCCTCATCCGCCCATACTGTGTCCAGGCCTCTGCGGGCTAGCTCCTGCACTGATTCGTTGTCGTACCCAAGCTCTTCGATAGCAGCTAGAAAGACCCGGTGCGCTAATGATGGGTCTGCCGGGTAATGCTTGGGATGCTTCACGATTGGTAGTCCTCTGATGCTTGTCCAGCGGTCCATCTCCAACAGGCGGTATGCCTGGCGTTGCTTGGGCCGCTGCTTGACTGGTAGCCCGCCGGAAACAGAGAAAAGCCTTAGGAGATCGATGGGCTTGTAGATGATCTGTGCATCATGGTGCTGAGCCAGCAGCTGCAGGCGGCGGCTGCCAATGTATGACCACAGCGAGATGAATGAGAAGTAATACTCGATGACTGGACGAGCCGACATCTTGTTGTAATGAGAGGCGGGATTAGGAGGACCAAGTTGAATCTGAAAGATAGCAAGACAATTCGTGCTGTGTTTCTAATTCACACGCTGACAACTTTGCTGGACGAGTTACGGTACCTCGAACTTTGCTCTTGTAGTCAACTTGTTTTCTCGATATGCTGGTTTTTTCGCAAGGTTGGTAACTCTACAAGGGGCCAGATGAATGCGCTCTTATATTTCTTTACTGTTGTAGGACCCTCCACTATGGGATCTACTCTGCGGCTCATCCCTGCCGGTGGATCATCACGTCATGGGCTTCGTGGATGTTGCCATTCCCTTAATAATTGGCCGTCAGAAAAACAGAGGCAGCAAAGTCAACTCACCAGAATTATTGTGGCAGTTAATCACATAATAATGCTTCCTATTGTGTAATAGGAAGCAGACAATATTGCTTAATAATTACTCAATAATTTATTATTATTATTGTTATTGTTATTATTAGAAACTATTCTCCATCAATTGGAAAGTTAGGAGTAAGACACTTTTGCAGTCCCTGTTATCCTGACGCCTACTTGGACCTAATCACGGAGGCGAGAAGGTCCATATGAATCTCGATAATATCCGTTTATTGTCCTCGCTGGGTATAATTTTAGGAACTGGTGTTCATCAATGCCACTTGGCTGCTGGACAGATCCTGAATTGGCAGAATACAAGTTTTACTAGGTATGAAACAACCATTTGATGTCTATTCTCGATCCATATTTGATTATTGCTTCTTTAACCACGGCTTTCAAAACGATTATTTCAGCCACCTAAATGACGCCTAACGGCATCTATTTAGGAGCTTTTCACGGCCTTGGCCTCGTTTTCCTCCTTCTCCCACCACTTTGTTCTGTAGCTGACGAGTCCCCAAAAAGCCTCTGCCCATTGGGGATCATACTTGGGCAAGATCCTACCTGTTGTACCTGGGGCTGGCTCTCCGGCAAGGGCCCGGTAAGATTCAAAAGGAGTCTCGAAGTCTGGGTTGAGGGCCCAGAATGGGATGCCGTCCCCAACGGCTGAAATTCTCTCATTCTCCCATCTTTCCATTTCCTCCTCTGCGGGTAATTTTGCTCTTCCAGCAAATACCCGAGCTACAGTGACTCCCTGCCACTCAAAAATGCGAAGTCCAAATCCACCAGTTACCTGATAGAAAGAGAATCACAAGTCAGATCTTGTATAAGCCCACTGATAGCACCCGGGAATTGGGACACTTGAAAGAACTTACCATGCCTACAAAGGCAAGACTCGGATCTCTGGAAAGGAATACATGTTGATACAAACCTGGAATCCTTCTGTTGACGATATTGATATCCGGTAGAAATGGAAAGTCAAATTCGTAGCCGGTTGCAAAAAGCACTGCATCTACGTCGTCAACGAATCCTCCATCCGTAAAGGTGATTCTGCCAGTTTTAGCATCAAAGGACGCGATTTCTGAATGGTTCTCAATGTGAGGATGTTTGAATGGTGGCGCGCCAAATATCGCCGACGGCTTTCGCATTGACGATATGACGGGGCGTTTTGAAGTAGTTCTGACATCATGTAAGGCGTCGAAGGCAGACACAGAGCCACCAACTACCACGACGCGCTGAGCCAATCTCTCATCAGTATCACTTTCTAGAAAGTTTAGATAGAAATATACATGCCAATCACCCACCTTGTCCTTGTAATCACTTGGATTCGTATAATGCTTGGTATGCCTGATTCTTCCGGGATATTTGGCATTGTAATCGGCTAGACCAGGGATTTCTGGCACCCAGGGGAGATTATAATGGCCAGTAGCTACAATGAGCGCATCGAAAGTTTCCTGCCACCAGGTTTCCTTGCGTTCGCCTCTAATAGACTTGCGAAGTGTCAGAATCCATTGATCTCCAACTTTCTCGGCGAGCTCGACGGAGGTATTGAATTCTATGAGCTTCTCACTCCCTCCGCTGTGAAAGATCTTCTCTATCCATTCACGGATGAGCTCCCTGTGACGAAACGGGGCATCTGCACCGTAATGGTTTAGAATACGGTCAGAAACCACCTGAGGAATTGGCTCTTGTGTGAAACACATAATTTCGGGAGGTAGGTTGCTGTGCAAGTTCTCATGGACAGCAGTCTCCCAAACATCATCTTGTGACTTGGGAAGCTCACACGGAAAGCTTGACGGTAGATTCTTAGCCTTTGGCGCGGATCTGCCGCCGATGGGAAGGAGGATGCTTTGAGGAGTAGGTCGGTCATCGTTGAAAACCCTAGCAATCGGAGCTGTCGTTAGATTCTTGACTGCCGACAACAAGAAAACATGAAGTTGCAGATATTCCATTTACCAAGTTCCTCCAATCTTTTCTTGTCTCTCGAAAACCCTGATGGTCTCGAAAGCTTGCTCCTTCACTAACGCGTCCGTCGTGATAGCACCCGCTGGGCCGGCACCAATCACCGCGACATGTCGCTTTGTCTGAGCCATGAAGAGTGTTGCTAGATTCGAAAGACGCTATGCGCTCCAAGCTAGATTGATTTCATTGAGTGAAGATGGAAGTGCAAATGAAAATAGAGCCTGATTCTTGCTGCGATATCGCAGCCCAGCCTCCTAATCCTTCCACAGTCGCTCCACTAGAGGCACTCCATCCCGATTTCATCCACCGAATCCACTTGGTCGTAAGATGTTGGAATGTGGATGAAGTGCGGTTTTTTCTTTTGATTTCACCCTTATCTTTCGGACGATGACGAGCCGAACACACGTGGGTTCTCGGTGAATAGTTCTAAAAGCCGGTACGGATCAGCAGGTGGCGTCAACGGGACCCATTAAGATGCAACATGTACCGGTAATTGTATAATTGTAATTGGTCACATCTGGAAATCATTCTTCTTGGGATGCATAGTTTTGATGGAGCCCAGGACGGGCCCCTTGTTAGTCTCAATGTGTAACAGCTAGAGTCGTAATGCGTAGACGCAGTATGGGCAAATTAGAAACTTGATTTTAACATCCTGAGACCGGGGGGGCTGGATTTAGTACTTCGCCATGCGCGCAACGCGTTATGGACAAATTGAGCACATGGGTTTACACATTGAGACCATGGGGGGCCGTTCTAACCGTTGTCCGTCATAGTATTGAGCTTTCAGACGGGGTCGACTTCCTTTTAGTGGCGACCGACATGATTTCCTCGGACGAACCAATCTCTCCGGCCAGCATGCTTTCTCGCCAGAGTATCCGAGCCCATAGGGCTAGCAGGCGTTTAGACCTGCATGATGGTTTCCAAGAGCTTAAACTTCTACTGGCTTGCTTGTTTTTTGAGTACCCAGGTTCTTCGCTCGACCACAAGGAGAGTGTGTTGACTGTCTTGTAGAATGAAGAGTTGTCGGAGATGGATAGGAGAGTTAAGTGTATAAGAACGACAACCTTTTTGGAATAGAACCCAATATTCA